AAAAGATTTTTATCATCTCAGCACTGTGAGCGATTTGGGTCCGAAATGGGATTAAGCATATCCTCACATTTTTTACATCTCACTGTTTTCATCCAGTAGCTTGAATGAAGGCTGAATTAAGCATCATCAAAGCCATCAGCATTCTTCACCGCGATATTTACTCCTCAAAGAAAAGTCTGCTTTGTAAATACAAAAATTTCATTTCATCCTAAAGCAGGCACCGACCTTATGGGTTGCAACTGCACCGGTACGTCCCCTCGTCCTCCCGCTCAGGCTTCCCGACTACGCTTTCCTCCGAGCACCAGGCCATGCCAAAGCACTGCAGCTGATCTGTTGTTGCATAGCAATTTGTTACGTCCATTGAAGCTGGGTGGGCCTCGGCCACAATAAATCTCTGATCGTTCTAGTCGTTCATCGTTGGTGCCGCAAAGCCGTCTGCTCATTTTTAGGTGGTTTTTTGAACCAGGGCATCACAAAGACGCCAGCATCGACTAGAGCATCACACTGCTTTTATCCGTGACTTTTTGCATATCGCACTTCTGCGATGATCCTTTGCTGAGAGCATTAGGTGTGCTGTGGAAATGGACACAGATAAGTGCAGGGATTTTCAAAAAGGATTCTTTATTGGAGGGATTTTCTAAAAAGTCTGCTTTCGATCCTACAAATCGAAAATGTCAATAGCAGTACTGTCTCGCAGAAAAAAAAATATCGCCAGGATGACTTGGCAGTTCGTAAATGAATGATTTTGGAAAGTTCGTAGGTTTTTTGGGCACTAATACTTTTTACCTGTTTCTGTTCATTTCACGGTTGCGGTGAACTAGTGGCCGTTTTAAGTAACAAGTGGTACTTTTAACGATGTCAAACCCCACCGCTAGTTAAGTAACACTTCAGAATAAATAAAAATAATAATTCTGATATGTTTGACAGCTCAAGTAATTCTACAATTTTTTCTTAAGCGTGAACTTGTAGTTGCACTGAACATATGACATGTGATCAGTAGGCCAAAACGAATACTGCAAGAATGCTCCGCTGAAGCAGATTTAGATGCAATTTTAACTCAGAATTGGCACCGAGCAATTGAGCAGTAATATCCTCGGTTTTCAGAAGTGGAATAACATAAAACAATAATAATATAAAATATGGGTTTCGTGCAATCGTTGCAGCACAAAACGCATAAAAAACGGAAGATGAGAGTAACGGATAGGAGATTGTGATTATGATATCCCCACTGCTTCCTGCTCATATGATTTACTGCTAAGTGATGAAACATAGACTCCTCTACGATCAGTATTTAGATCCAATATCTCTGTCTTGATCTTTCACTATTATTATTTTTAGCAGCATCTGAATGGCTTGGACTGATTGTTTTTAAATTTGTTCAAATATTCCTGCTAACAACCTGAAATTCTCAGATAAACAAAATCTTGCTGGCTCTCCATTTCATGGAAGCATATACTTTTAAGACAAACACAAAATCCACTTGCAAAATGGATGAATTGTTTAGAGTCTGGCGGAAATGCATTTTTGCCGAAATTTGATCGAAATTGATGCTTCCATCTAAAAGCACACATATGCATGCATGTTGGAACAAATATATGTACACACTCAAACACACATACATAACCATACACATATTATGCTTGTATACAAACATACACATGCTACACACACAAATACAAACACACGGATCGTTTTACCACCGCTGGAATTTGCACATTCATATTTTATTGTTTCGTTCGTCGTCCAGAGTTTTGAAATCGAACGCTGACCAGGGATTGAATGCATCGCCGTGTGCATATGCAAATGGCGATGTTCCATACTCGAAAGCACCGGAGAGCGGAAATCGCACACCGGCACCGTTAGCGCCAATGGGAATTGGAAAATCGACGCCACCAATGAAAAATGCATCGTCACCTACAACTCAGTCAAATGCGGAGGGAAATTTCTTTTATAGTGGACTGAAGCCCAAAGAAACTAGGAGCTA